TCATATATAAGATTCACTTTGTGTAGGACATATAATATAGGAAGCTTAAATAAATAATAAGTCATTCCTATTTTGTGATAACTTGATATCATATTATCTTAGTTATTTCTGGATTGTTTGATGTATTTTCTTAATCGTTACATCAATTGTTGGATTGTGTAGTTTAATGCATCGGTATGGGACGGTGGCATTCTAGGGACGGATTAACTTACCAGTTAAGTCCTACCTATTTTATATAAGGGAATGGATTAACTAAAATGTTAAGTCTTACTTATATTCAAGTCAGGTCAGCTGAACAAGTTGAATGACTTATGGAGGATTAATTTATTATATAAGGGAATGGATTAACTAAAATGTTAAGTCCTACTTATATTCAAGTCAGGTCAGCTGAACAAGTTGAATGACTTATGGAGGATTAATTTATACTGAATAGGATGATTTTTAGTTTTTTTTTTTTATAAATAAGTATGATGCCATGATATGAGCTTGAGTCTCAGAATCAGTGGTTAGGGTGAGTATATCGCCAGGGATGCGTAGTTAGATATAGTGTTGTTGTGTACCCTGGTAAGTCTAGGTACTTATGTCCACTATATGTGCGTTTTGCATGTTGCCTACTATTCAGGTTGAGACAACCCTATAGTCTAGTGAGGTTCCTTTAGTGTGTATATATATATATACGGACTGCTAGTTACTGTTGGATTGACTAGGATGTATACGTGTATCGGATCTCTACTTGGACTGTAGTAGAGTAGAACTTTTTTGTGGGCCTGACCCATCATTATTTTTCGGGTGTTCGTCAGGAGTAGAGGTTGTTCGTTCTTCCGATGTTACATAGGAGTTCCTTTATGATTCAGTTTCCTGATTTAGACAGTTATTGCTGTCATTTGTTTAGTTTGGATTTTCTAGAGGTCCACACAGTATGGATTCCCGAGTTGTATTTTGGAGGATCAGTTGTATCAGAAGAGTTTATTAATTCATAGAAATATATTATGAGGTTTATTATTAGATTATCATTTTAGTTTCTTGTCAGCATTTTATTTATTCTTCTTTATTCTTTTGTACTCTGTGTTCGTTTATTATCCATTTGTTTTGATATCCTCGGGTATTCGGGCGTGGGTCTGGCCAATCCGCATTCAGAAATTCGGGGTTATTACAACAAATCTGAGATGTTTTTGGGATATTTTGGGAAAAAGACAAAAGTAGTAGGTGGGGATAAGATTAGGGAAGTTCGATCGATTTGAAAAAAGTTAGATCGATCGAAAATGGAAATTCTTAATGATAAGGACAAGGGGTTTTGATCCATCTTGACAGGGTTAGCTCGATCACTGTTAGATCGATTGAAAATATGTCTGATCGATCGAAGTTTACTATTTTTCACCACTTTACTTCCACTTTGCTCCATTCTTCCATTCAGCTTGAGATTGCTTCTTTTATGCTCTAATTTGGATGAATTGACTTATTTTGGGGATAAGCGTCTGAAAAGGGCAATAACATGAAATTAGTCTAAAACGGGAAAATAAGATAGATAAAGGTCCTAAAATATTCGAACTTAAAAGGTTTAAATGCCCACTTTTTAGTGCTCATCATGGGTTGAGCTTAAGTTATTAGTTTTCTTTGACTTATTAAATTCACAAATTTTTTAAACAAAAATACCTTTTTTATCTTCATCTTTTTCACCTTTCTCTCTAAGTAGATCAACAAATCTAAAATTCTCTTTTGCAGTAATGAATTTTTTTCTCTTTTTCGTTTCTTTCTCTATTGTGTTTCAATTGATATTGTGAAAGATATTTTTTTATTTTCCGTTTCTTTTTCTATTGTTTTCAACTGAAATTGTATATGGCCAATATGGTTTTAACCAATAGAGAGAGAGAGAGAAAAAAAGAAAAAGAAAAAATAGAGAACATTTTGAAGTGGGTTCCATAGTGGTGGTAGGCTTTAATAGAGGTATGAAGTTGCTATGATAAAAGACAACAGAGGTATGGTACTATGGTGTAGCCAGAAGGAGAACGAAGCCTATGAGTGTCGTTTGGCTATGGAGTTGTTGGTAGCTGAGCAAATTTCAACGGGATTGTAAATATGGTGGTTTTCCGGCAACGATTTTCGCGTGGCTCTCTCTCACCCCTCTGTCTCCTCTCTCTCCCAACATTCTCAAATTTTCTTTTCTATACTTGGTCACTCTCTCACTCCATTACCAATATTTTTCGCATAAAATTGAAGCCCTAAATCCAAGGTGAGAGATCTTACTCTCCCATTCACGACGTTCCAATCATCTATTTTACATAGGCGACGTGACTTCGGCGAGTATATAACGCTACTGAATCGCTTCGTCGAGAAAAGCGCACCGTTCTTGGCAGAGTGCCACTGCCGGAAGGTTGTCGAGCTTAGACGCCGCACAACCTATTCAGATAGGCAAGAAAGTGGTAGAAAGAGACTGAAAAAAATTATCAAGAAATCAGCAAAGACATGGCTTTGGATTTAGGATTTGTATGAAAGAGAGGGGGGATAGGAGAGGAGGAAGGGCAGAGGCGTAGGAAGGACAGAGGAGTCCGTCGTTGGGTTGTAGCAGAGAGGGAGAGAGATAGAATGTACTATAATACGATGTCGTTGAAGTTAGGGCTAAATGGTAATTTACTTTTTCATTGACGTCTCCTTGGCGACTTGTTACTAAATGCAACCAAATAATAATTTAGGAAGTTTTACTTATTTCAAGGGTTTGTTGCAATTGGGTCATAATTGAGGGGATTTATTGCACTTTACCCCCTAAACAATTTGGCTCCAAATAAAGCATCAAAATAATTTATTTATTTACTCCCTTCGTCTCAAAATAGTTGTTTATCTTTTCATTTTGGGATGTCCCAAAAAATAAGTCCTATTTCAAAATTTTATGTACTATTTTTTATAACATTTTTAAATTATCATTTTAATTAAACAACTGTATTACAGAACACTATATTTTATTTTTTAGTAAGGACATATTTGAAACTTTACTCTTATCAATATAAAAAATAAAAAAAAAAAGTTAGATTAGCAGGACATGTATTTTTGGAACAAAGGGAATTTATTTTCATTCTGATATAAAAGAGTGGACTCGCCAAAAGTTCTTTTTCTCTACCAGCCTTTCACCGTCGTCTCCTGCTTTTCCAGAGTTTCTATCAGCTTGGTTAGTGTTTCGAAATTCTTCATGGAATCAAGCGAAGAGGAGGTCGAAATTCTCTCTTTTATCGTCCTATTTGATCTGATCACATTTATTGTATGATCTTATTTTTGTTAAATCTACATTGTTCTTGCTGTTCCTCTTCTTCTATTTAGTATATTCCGTTTGGTTGCTGAGAAAATGAGGAAAAGAAAAGAGGAAATTTAATTTGAGTACTATCCGTTCTATTTTGTTTTTGAAACTGAATTGAAAACTGACGAACTTATTATGATCCAAACGTTGTGATTTCTTGCCCGTCGTTCCATTTTCTAGGCAGCGACACTGAGACGGTTTTTTTTTTTTTTTTTTGGTTTGGTTTGGTAAATGTAAGTCACTGACTAATAAGTTTTGGCTTGAAGTTACCATCATAATGGTTTCTGATGTCATTTCTTTGATGGGTACTTATTTAATTTGGGTTTTTCATATTGGCCATTATAGTTGGAGATTTTATTTGCAAGGTTCCTACCCAATTGTACATTGTAGTTTTGTATGTGGTTGTAATGCTCTGTTTGGTTGCTTAGAAAATGTAGGAAAATAAGAACATCAAAAGTTGATTCCACCTATAGAAAGGAAAAGAAAAACAATTTTGATTCCCAAATGATGTGAACAACACTATCAAGTGGTCACTAGTGAAGTCAGAAGTGGTTGTGTTAGCATGACCTTCAAGGACTCAGACAACCAACTTAGCAGTTGTCATCGGGTCTTTAATATCGGCTTAAACAATGTCTAATCAGCTCTTTGGTTTATTTTTGTTATTAGAAAATACTATTAAAGATAAAATTTACTCTTTGCTTTATATTTTCTCCGGCTCTTTTCAATAGCCAATTTGGGTGTTGAATTGATTGTTAGAATGTCAGGAAGCAGTGGTAAAAGATTGTTTTTGAACGTGGCTTGCATATATTCAATTTTAGAGGTTCTTTTGTTACAGAAGGAAGAATGGCAGTCATCTTATTAGAAATGCTTTCCATAATTTATATTAATTCTTTTTGAGTTATAAGGTCTAGAGTGGTGCAAAAGCTTAAAAAGTAGTTTCTAAAATGCCTCTTGTGCGTAGCATATATGTATATATATATAAATTTTTTAGGAGCTGGGGAAGATGCATATGGCATAGAATGTATTTTCCTTAGTTTTCTTGGAAAATGATTCTATTATGTTCCATGTACAGTAGCACAGGCATCAAAATGAGTTACTTCACTCCTATGTATTGGTTCATGGGCAGTTGAAAAGCTCACATCTGGAATTGTATGTCTAGAGTCTTTGTTGAGCGCTCGTGGGCATCACCTTGAATGCTTGCTTGGATTATCTAGGTGCATGCTGTAGAAAGTGAATTAAAGATGCTTTCTGCACAGCTAGATTGCAGTTAAATCATAAAGCATTCCATTATGTTACAAATGAAATGTTATTGCAACTGGTAATTTGTGGTTGCAAGTTCATAGTCTTGTTTCCCGTACCTTGTCTTTTACCATTAAAGTATGATCATTGTATATATGGACCGTGATATTTCTACATGTCCCATCACATATGTGTGAACTGCAGCTAAGATAGGGTTTGCATAGTTTGTTCTCTATTTCTGTTAGAAACATTGTGTCTCAATGCCAACTACAGTCTTGAATTACCTGGGTTTCAGTAGTTCATTTCTAATTAAACATAATCCGAAAGGTTTCTTTTCTAATTTCACAAAGCAAAGCGGGGCTGCTTGGTTGATCCCCGACTAATTTGCTTTTGTGACAGTTATTCTGAATGCTTTGATTCTTTTCTTGCTCTGTTACAGATGAATATATACTTGAAGGTCATAAAAACAATTCTGATGACGATTAAAAATGTAAAAGCAACGTTCCGTAGTAAGGAGGGCATCTCAGAAAATCTTCAGGAGCTTTTCTTGAAGGGTGAGCGGCTTCAGGATTACAAGAAGCTAGTTGATTATGGTATTAAGACGAACTCCACTCTCCATCTTGTTCTCCAAGCCTCGGGTGCAATAAAACTACTTATCAACATACCATCACATAAGAAAACCGTTGAGGTTGAAGCAAAGCCGAAGGATACCATCCAAAACATCAAATTATTGATTCAGGCCAAAGAGGGGATTCAAGCAGATAAGTACACCCTCATCTATGCTGGAAAGCTACTTGAAGATAACAGGACTTTAGCCTCTCTCGAGATACAGGATGAATCTACTCTCCATTTGGTTTTTAATCCTAGAGATTTGTTGTCCGTTTCTGTGAAAATGCCTTCTGGAGAAATCTTGAAACCGGGAAGTTAAGGTCTTATACACTGTTCGTGATGTCAAAGATATAATTGGGAGCATGGTATGTTTCCCAGTTGCTGATTGGAATCTGATATTTGCAGGACTGCAACTCGAGAATTCAAAGACGTTGGCTTTTTATAACATCACAGAAGAATGCATCTTAGAAATGTTGCCTCCTACAATTCAGATATTTGTCAAGAAGTGGGGTGGTGAAACCATCACTCTTGATGTGGTACGACAGGACACTGTCAAAGATGTGAAGGAAAAGCTTTTTGACAAGCTCGGCCTGCCAGTTGAGGTCCAGAGTCTTGTTTTTTGCTGGCACAATGCTCGAGAATGGCCGCGATTTGGCTAGTTACAACATCCAGAAGGACTCCACTCTTAAGTTAAGTTTTTGGCCTAATACATGGTACAAGGCAAAATTATCTGAAATTGGAGATTTTTCTACAGGTGTACTAGATACTAGGGCTGCAACTTGGGCGAGTTGGACACTTAACTCGGGCTCAGCCCAACATACAAATCTTCAGCCCAAGCCCAGGTATAATTTCGCCTAGCGAGCCCAAGCCCAGCCCATACTTAATTTTTAAAACACGGGCTAAACTCGGGTTATATTTTCGGATTTTCTTGGGCTTTTAAATCAGGCTCTCTCAATTTTATTAGTGCTTGGAGTTGGAGTAGTTGTATGAGTTTCAAGTTTCAACCTCATCATGTCCAACAACATCAAGATGACACAACTCCAAAAGCTGATGATGATGATGAAGTTGCAATACCACAAGGCCTTGAATCTGTGTGATGTGTATTCATGATGACGCTTCCAACAAAGTTAACAAAACATACAGGGCCTTGAATACAAAACATACAAGTCTAACATTAATAATAAATAAGTACAAAATTAACAAAATAACAAGCCACATTCCAACAAAATATAAAATTCATAACCAATATTAGCATTTCGGGCGGGTTCGGGTTGGGCTTCGGGCTTCATAACATATATACCCGAGCCCGGCCCGAATTGAATTCGGGCTCAATAAACTCAGCCCAGGCCCAGAACAAAAAATCATTGTCCAAGCCCATAAAAATGCGGGCAAGGCTCGGGTAAATTCGGGTTGGGCCCGCCCGAGTTGTAGTCCTACTAGATACCTGATCTAAAGGCTTTGGTCCAAAAGAAAGTGAAAGCACCAGTGAAGGAAGCATTCCTCAGAGGAAAGGCACTGAAAGATCAGGTTTCTCTGGCTAATAATGCCATTGGAAAGGACACACAGCTGGTCTTTGCTTTGGAAAGGCGTGAAACCTGTAAGTAATTCAACGATATTAAAGTACATGGTTCTAATGCATAAAACTTAGTTTAGAAAACATACCTGCCATGTTTAGCAGTTTGAATTTGAGATGAACTATATCAGAAATACTCTTCAACCCTCTATCTTTTCCTGTGAAACTGACGATAGTTTCAGACCTTTCTTTCACGTATATATATAGAGGGCTGGGACCGTTTCCAAAACCTTACCAAAAGGAGACATGTTGGTTCCATCAACCAACACATCCCTCTGTAAGTAAATAACTGTTATAAAATAAACAGTGTTCATATGATACAACGTTACATCTCCTAAATATGGATAATAAAACAATTTAAATAAAAGTTAAGATTAATTATTATAATAAGACCGTTATATTCTTACATTCTCCCACTTGGTCTTATAATCATAATTAATTTTTTTATTTATTCTTTTTTTATTATATATATATATATATATATTTGAAATAATGTTGGTGTGCACACTTTAAATAAATTATCTATATTTAGAGAATCATTGTATCAAACAACTTTTATGAAGTTCTTACAAGTATACCAATATTGAATCAAGGACGTCATTATATTATTTAATAATATAGGACATCAATGGTCACAAACATTAATACACTCGACTTCAAGATTATACATAAATACTGCATGTGCTAAATAATAAAGTATTATGCCATGCTTCGGTCCTACCGCGTTTCAATAAGGATACACCATGTCTTATAAATGACACTTATAATTTTCCATACACATGTGCACCAATATGGAAAACTAAATAAATGAGGATAATATAATATAAGAAAATGTGATCATAAATACAAATGTGTCTACAACTGAGTCAAAAATAACCTCCCACTAACTAAGTAAATTGAAGCTATCGATAATACCCATATGAGCAACATGCTCACTGTATAGCTTAGGCGGCAACCCTTTAGTCATGGGATCAGCAATCATTTGTTGTGTACTAATGTGCTCAATAGACACAAGCTGGTTCTGAATCATCTTTTTCACAACAAGGTATTTAATATTTATATGTCTAGATTTTTCCTGAACTCTTGTTGTTCCTTGAATACATAATTGCAGCGGAATTGTCACAGAAAATCATCAATGGTTTAGAAATAGAATCTACAACCATAAGTCTTGAGATGAAGTTTCGTAACCATAATGCATGACAAGTGGCCTCATAACATGCAATAAACTCTACCTCCATGGTGGATGAAGCTGTTAATGTTTGTTTAATACTTTTCCATGAAATTGCTCCTCCAGCCATCATGAAGATAAATCCTGAAGTGGATTTCATACTATCCTGACAACCAGCAAAGTCAGAGTCTATATAACCCACCACTTCAAGCCTGTCGGTCCTTCTATATATAAGCAAATGGTTCTTTGTCTTTTGCAGGTACCTCATTACTTTCTTTGCCGCTTTCCAATGATCCATGCCAGGATCACTTTGGTATTTCCCTAGCATACCAACAACAAATGCTATATCTGGCCGTGTACAAACCTGAGCATACATCAAACTCCCAACTGCAGATGTATAGGGAATGTTTTTCATTTGCTCCCGCTCTAGGTCATTTCTCGGACACTAGAATTTACTAAATTTATCACCCTTTACTATAGGAGCAATTATACCTTTACAGTGTTGTATATCAAATCTTTTAAGAACCTTTTCTATATAGGCTCTTTGTGACAATCTAAGAATCCCACGAGATCTATCTCGATGAATCTCAATGCCAATGACAAATGAGGCTTCACCAAGATCTTTCATTTCAAAACTTTGAGATAAAAAATGTTTAGTCTCGTGTAACAAGCCAATGTCACTACTAGCAAGTAAGATATCATCAACATACAACACTAGAAAAATGAACTTACTCCCACTGACTTTCATATAAATGCACTCATCAATAATATTTTCTTTAAACCCATATGAAGTAATTATCTCATCAAATTTTATGTACCATTGTCTTGATGCTTGTTTTAACCCATAAATAGATTTCCTTAACTTGCACAACATATGTTCTTTGCCCTCAATTTCATAACTCTTGGGTTGATCCATATAAACTTCTTCGAGTAAGTCACCATTTAGGAATGCAGTTTTTACATCCATTTGATGTAACTCCAAATCAAAATGAGCTACTAATGCCATTATAATTCTAAAAGAGCCTTTCTTTGAAACAGGAGAAAAAGTTTCTTTATAGTCGATACCCTTTTGTTGAGTAAAACCCTTAGCAACAAGTCGGGCTTTATATCTTTCAACTTTACCTTTTGAGTCTTGTTTAGTTTTAAATACCCATTTACAACCAATGGGTCTGACTCCCACTGGTAAGTCAACTAGATCCCAAACTTTATTATTTTTCATAGAATCTAACTCATCTTTCATTGCATCTGACCATTGTTGAGCAAAAATGCTACTTTTGGCTTCTGAAAATGATAGTGGATCATCTTCTTTACCAATGTTGAACTCAATCTCTTGTAGAAAAACTTCATAGTTATCTGGAATAGCACTTTTCCTTTATCTCCTTGATCTTCGTAATGGCATGTCAACTATTGGTTCATTTGAGATTTCTTTTATGCGAGGTGTTTGCTCTTCAGGCTCTTGATGATTTAAATCATCATCTTGCATGGTAGCAAGTGGGATAACTACATCATCCCGATGAACTAAATTTATATTTCGATTTTCCTCAAATACCATGTGCCTGGGCTCTATACTCCCACTGGTATAACCGTCCTCAATGAACCTAGCATTTAGGGTCTCAATAAGTTTGGTACAATGTGATGGACAATAAAACCTATAACCTTTTGACCTTTCTGGATATCCTACAAAATAACAACTGACTGTTCTAGGATCAAGTTTCCTTTCATGTGGGTTGTATAATTTAGCCTCTGCTGCACATCCCCAGATACGTAAGTGATTTAAACTGGGTTTTCTTCCTATCCACAACTCAAAAGAAGTCTTTGAGACTGCCTTAGACGGCACTCGATTTATGATATAAGCAGCAGTCCTAAGAGCTTCACCCCACAGAAAATCTGGCAAAGATGAATTACTCATCATAGTTCGAACCATATCCACAAGAGTGCGATTCCTTCATTCAGCTACACCGTTTTGCTCAGGGGTACCCGGCATGGTGTACTGGGCAACTATATCACACTCTTGTAGATACTTAACAAATGGCCCTGGATTACGACCTATATGATCGTGCCTTCCGTAGTATTCACCACCACGGTCAGATCGTACTACTTTAATTTTCTTATCAAGCTGACGCTCGACTTCTATCTTAAAAATTTTAAAAATATCCTACTTATCAAATTTTTTTTTTTTTTTTTTTTAAAATATCCAGTGCCTCAGATTTCTCACCAATCAAGTACACATAACCATAATGAGAATAATCATCAATAAATGTAATAAAGTTTTTCTTCCCGTTTAATGTAGCAGGAATGAAAGGACCACATATGTCTGTGTGTATAAGCTCTAAGAGGCCATTACTTCTAGTAGCACCCTTATGTCTAGACTTGGTTAACTTTTCTTTAGCACAATTAATGCATATGCCATAGTCTGAAAAATCTAATGTGTTCAGAATACCTTCTTTAACCAATCTTTCTAATCTCTCTCTAAAGATATGACCTAAACGCCTATGTCATAACATAGAAGAAGAATCATTGGTAAGACCACGTTTGGTACTCACATTAAAAGACAAAAGAGATTGTGAAAAATTTGGGTTAAGATTTAGAAGATAAAAATTATTAACTAATGAACCAGAACCAACAAATTTGGAATTATAAAAGATATTGATATTACGATTACTAAAACGAAATTCATAGTTCAACATATCGAGTTTAGGTACAGAGATTAAATTTCTGGACATTGAAGGAATATACAAAACATCTTCCAACTCTAATACAAAACCACTACTAAGGATAAGATGAACAACTCTCACAGCTTTAACTTGTGCTTCTACCCCATTACCCATAGTGAGTGTCCTTTGGTTGGGATTGATTTTTCGGCTCTTTACGAATCCTTGCAAGGAATTAGAAATATGAATAGTAGCCCCGGAATCAATCCACCGAGTATTTGGCGGAACAATGGCTAAATTAGATTCTGAACACACTAGACAATGGGTGCTACCTTTCTCTGCTAACCAATTTTTGTAACTAAAGCATTCCTTTTTGACATGGCCTCGCTTGTGACACCAGAAGCATTGAACTTTCTTTTTCCCCACTTTATGTGCCTGACTGGGTCCAATATCATTAACCTTTATACCCTTTTTCTCAGTTTTCTTATTATTTTTCTTTGACTATTTTCTGATCCACAATGTGTGCCATATCGGGCTTATTGTGTCGGGTTCGCTCTTCCTCTTGTGCACACATACTAATTAGTTATGTTAATTTCCACTTATCTTTCTGCGCATTATAAGTAGTTTTAAAAATATCGAATTGCGCAGGAAGAGAAGTCATAATAAAGTGGATTAGAAAAGAGTCACTAACTACTATATTTAGAT